CCCTCTCTCTGTGATAGTGTATGTATGGATTTTCAATGGCTCAATATTTACTTCAACATTTTTAAACAAAAATTTCTTAGCGCAATTAGATTTTATTAGCCCTGAGTTTAACATAAAAGGATTAATCTTCCAAGATTATTATTTTCTTTATATTTTGGTTAACACTTTATGGTACTTGAGTTTGTTATCGCGTGAAAGCATCTCATTTTGCTGGGTTGGACATGAGCGCAAAGTCATTAATTGAGCGCTATTCAGCAGGATAATTCTTCAAAGATTTCAGTGGCCGTTTAATCGGCATTTTGGCGTTGTACTTTAAACATTTAATTTCTCCAATTTGAAGCATGTTTTTCGATAGCGTTCCAATTTGACGCTTTCTTAAATTTCCCTAAAATGATTAAGAAGAAAAATCATATGAATTTAAGTATCATAATAAACTTTCATCTTGCTTTTATAAAAAAAAACATCTTTGCCTAACTTGCTTCAATTATCACTGCCTCTCCCTCCCTACACCTGGGTAAAGGCCACGAATAGACCCTTTCCCCCTTTCCTTATTCAGGGCTAGCTGTTCTATGATATTCCAGGCCTTCCTACTTTTCTGTACATCATTATCTGTGACTTTTCTTGGTTTTCCATGTGGCCTTCCCCTTGGTCTCTAGTCTTGTGGATTCAATCCAACGATTTCTTTGTTATGCATACTTGCTTTGTATGTGCATTTGTGCAAGGGTTATATGAGCCGTAAGTCCTATCTTGATCCCCCACCCCATGCCTCTCCTGTTGGCCCCTTGCCTCTACTCTTGTAGCCATCAAATGCCAACACGGGGTTCTAGGAATCTAAATCATGAAGCCAACATTTTCCCCGGGAAAACAGCACTTTGTGAATCATTCTTTCGCATTTGTTTTGATTTCGTATTGATTCAAATCCAGAAAAGACCAAAAACAAGACATTTTGAAGGTGGGAAACGAGTTTTAGGCGGAACATGATACAGTTTGGCGGGTTTTAGGGGTCTATAGATTTTTGCCTGCCTGAGTTGTTTTGGTTCCAAGCCAGTTTTCTAGATGGGAACAGGACACAGAGACCTGGCTAGACACCAAAAACAGCTGAGGCAGGCAGAATGGCGAGAGACAGAGAGAGTTTTATTGCAGGACAGTCTGAGAAGCAGAGTCTAGCGACTGGAAAGGCTAATGTTTCAGTTTGGTAAAAAGGTTTACGACACTCACAAATCCATAAGGTCAAATTATTTTGAATGTGTGGGACGGAAGTTGACTGGTTTCAAGTCTGATCACAGCACAGCACGGCTTGTTTTTATTCTGTTAAATCGGTACTGTTGACAATTTAAAATTTCAAGTTATTAAACTGTTGACACCTTTGAGTAAGAGCACCGGTCTTTATAAAATGGATACTTTTGTTCGAATCAATGATGTCATAGAACCAGAACAAGAACAAAAACAAGAACAAGAACAAGAACAAGAACAAAGAGAAAACCTAAACAAAACAATAGCAAGAAAAAATCAATTAAATTCCCCATTGAAACTGCATTGCATTCAGATCAATTAAGAAGCTGGCTAGTCTGAGCCTGCCTACAGGGTCCCACCCTTTGTGTACGGTATACAACATCTTAGCACTGGGGCTGGCGCACTCATCAAGTAGCTTCCCCACACAAAGGTGGGTTGTAATCTGTGAGTTTTCATTTGGTTCTCTAATGAAGTTTCGAAAAAAGCAAAGAGGGAGGGGGGGGGCAGGGTGTGTATAATAATTTGACTGACTGAAAAGTATTGTTGATAGACACATATACACAAGAAAACTGACAGCTGAGACACTCAATAATATATTGAAAGATTCGTGGAAGTAGCTAGAATCGATAATATGATTGATTTGCTGGGGGA